AGCAGATCTTAAACAAATGTTACTGAACAATACCAAGAAAAACTTGAACCATATATTACTTACAGTATTTTTATCAATTAAGCATTTATTCCACCCTTGATCCCCTTGTGCCAGTCCAGATGGTCTGCCTAATGAGAAGCTGTCCAGAAGCATATCCACTATGTCCTGGAGTTCAGATATTCAGCAAAAGTCATTGCACAGCAGTGCCTGGTTTGGTCCACATAGCCATCTAGCAAATCTAGCACATGGAGTAAGACTTCAACTTATCAGTTTTTATTTTCCTTAACCTACAAAGAATGCATAACAGGTAGTGGATCTAAGCAAGCTGTGTAAATAAGCAGAATGGTGCTCTTGCTAATAAGGTGACATATTCAGAGGAGAAGCATTGCATACCCCCTTGCATGATTGGAGAATGAGCTTACTTCGACTTCCATGAATTACATTTTGTTTTCTCTCCCATGCTGGTGAGTCACATTCCAAGCTGCTGTTAAGGCAAATTAAAGAGTCAGTTGCTTGCTCCACTCATGGCAGGACTAGAGTGAGGACAGAGACCATGGCTTGGGTCCATGTTCAGATTCTGCTTCTTCCCCACATTGGCCTAGCATTCAATACCCTTGCATGAGTATTTCTGTGGAATTACTTGTTGAAAACAAGAGTGATGGGACTGGTCTGTCAGTAACACTGGAAAAGAAAAAATTAGTCAGTGATTCTAAGATATATAATTTGAGTGAGCATATTGTTGTAGTTTTGAAATGGACATTGGTCTTGATTTTCTCTGCTATGCACAAATTTATCTGAATAAACTTCCCGCAGTATTTGAACATTTTGGAGGATGTTCTTTTTACAACAGTTGCTTTTTCTGTTAGGTTAATGATTGGTGATTATCCTGTCTCCCTTCCTCAGTCCCTTCCTTCCTTCCTTCCTTGTTTCTCCTGATTAGATGAATAGTAACAGGCAATTTTGTAAGTCGGACCTGACTTATACAACATCACAGAGCAGTGATGTTGACATAGCATTAAATCAATTATCAGTTATCAGAAATATGTTTTCAGGGAATTTTTCTTGTTTGGGTTTTGTAAATCAATTTGCATGCAGGTTTCTGTGAAAATGTTCCTTAGAACAATTTCACAGTAATTAGAGACTTACAACTGTAGTGGTGACTAAGTAAAATTTCCAGAAAACAACCTGAATTGTGGTATCCATGAGATCATATTTCTCAATAAAGGTCCACTACTAGGGAACTAACTTTCCTATAAAAATGTAAAATACAATTTCTCTGCCTTTTCTAACAATAATAGAAAGGCTTGCATTGGAGAGCTGAAAGACAAGACGGATCAAGTCAGTCAAAATACCTACAAATTTTTCAATTTTTTCTCTTCTACATTTTTTTAAAGTCTAAGTAATTTACATTTTGAAACAAAGGTCATTGCAAACAAAGTATTCACATGTAGGAAATGCCTCATTTAGAAGTACTGGGTTTTAAAACTGGTTTTGCTTTTATTAGCAAAACAATACATTAATTGTATTGTAATTCTTGGAGTGGTTTAGATAAGTCAATTTACTTTTAGAAATTTTTTGCAAGATGCTTTTTTCAATAGCTCAGGTTAACAATCATCTTATAGTAAATGTATGCCATTCTTCAAATGATAACTGCATTATAAGAGGAACTGGAATATCCTGTTCAGTGGCAGAATGAGAATTTGAACTTCAAAATACAGCACCATGGGGAATGGCTGAATTAATTTTGAGTATCCATATTTCTATCTGAAAGACATTTTACATGAAACAACTGTAGAAATATGTTTTCATCTAAAACTCAGGTGTACTATACTAGTGATGCATTATGAGCTGAATGGTTAAACTGAAAGAGCTTGCTTAGTTAACTTGCTCAGTTAATGGCGCTGGTTCAGTTCTGCTGCAACATTTGCAAGCTGATACAAAATATTTTTCCTTAGCAGAAAGTAAGCTTCAGGTCCACAGCAAGTTCTGTTATATTGGCATCAAATCAGAGCTGGGCTGGGCTTCCATAATCTAGCTTTAAGAAGATCCATCAGTAACTTCTGCCATTTTGCAGAGGGGACACCTCAGGTCGCCAGATCAACTGAATCAGAATTGTGTGGCTATAAAGGGTTTTTGTTGCTAGGGGACAGACTTCTTTCCTTCCAGTCAACACAGGCAACAACCCATTTCCCAGTTCAGTGCATGAAAAAATTGGACCTAACAGAACAAAGAAAGACACCAGTACAGTGCTGGTAAAAAAAAAAAAAAAGATAAGCAAACATAAAAATTGTAGCTCTTAAAGTAATTAACATTGTCTTGTTATCACAAGACAAATGAGTTATGGTAAACATTTTAAGGCTCAAGAATTAAAAGGGGTGAAAATATTCCTGAACCAGACAGCATATGTCAAACCAAGTTTCTAAAACTGGCAGTCAGAAAGGTAATTTTTTACTTGGAAATGGAACAAATTTAATATGTATCTTATCACTACATTAAGTTATTTTTATTTTAATAACCTCTCAAAAACTAACTCACAACACACTATGGTAATATGAAGAATAAATTTAGCTGTTGTTTTCCAACAAGACATTCCAGACTTTCAATATCATCCCACATTGATAATTAGTCATTTGTTAGAGAAACACAGCAGTAATCACTTAATGCACTGCAATACTGGCCATTTACAGAGACCTTCACTTTTCAGTGAAATCTGCTGAGAGTAGAACTGCTTGTGGGACTTGAGTTGATATAAAAGACAAATTGAAGCACTTTTACATGGATCAACATAATGCTACTCTGGGTACTGGGAAATTGAAGAATTTATTTTAAAAAGTAAGAATTTTTTTCTTCTTCAGCTTTTGTACTAAAATGTTCAGGCTCTCTACACTAACTTTTTCATGCTTTGTACTGTTACTGTGAAGGCTGGTAATTTTTATTTTAAAAACAAAATCTGAGCTCCTCCTGAAATAGCATGACTTTATGAAACTGAATTTTGCAAAGTATTACAGAAATCACAATGAAAGGGGGGTGATGTATACTTTTGCTTGGGCTTATCTCAAGCAGAGCTTGAGATTGAACTAAAAAATTTACAGTGCTCATTTCAATAACCCATTACACTTCTGGTAGAGCCCTTGTCAAGAGAATGCTTGAAAAGACTGTAAAACACACTTTTCCATTATTCTTCAGCAATGTTTACATAAATGATATGAGTTGAGACAAGCAGTTCTGGAAAATTGTCACTGATTGTCCCTTTTAAATGTATATTCTGGGAATGTTTTCAGAATTTTTAACATTGATTCAAACTGATATATTTTCTTCCAAATGCTGAACACATTTTCCCAATACATATGAAAAATACAGTCTACTCTTTATTCAAAGACTATTGCATTTCTTCTTACCTTGGTCATATGTTTTCCTTTATTTCGCATTTGGATCTTATAATTTGTTCTTTCTAATGTTTCTGATCTTTGTTGCTGTTTCCTTGTTGGGTACTTGCTGTGGTAGATAGCAGTTACCTGATTCTATTTCAACTTTCACTAATGCAGACTATATGTCATGGTTTCACTGGTGGCAGTGCCCAAAATTATTTGAGATATAGCAATCTCATCTATAGCTGTGCCTTGTTTACAGTATGAATATGAGATCTGGCATTTCCACAGGGCCAATTTGTTTCCTTCTGCTTTTTAAAATTCATTCTGAATCAGTACATGCTATGAAGCCACAATCATGACTACAGGCTAGGAGGTCTAACAAAGAGAAGAGATTACTTCTTCCCTGTATGTGCTCTGGTTCTCTGCGAGAGTATATGGTCTCATATAAGAGCGTTCTGTCAATGGAGCTAGAATTCCTGTATCTGCTTCAGTGGATTAATTTATTTAAACTTTAAACTTTATTTAAATTTTTATTTAAAGTGTTGGGCCTTGCCTACCGTAGCATGCATAGTGTTCTACTGCAACAGCAGTGGTCCTGGCAAAGGGATGGATGTGTAGCAGACAATTGTATCTGAAACTGTCACACTCTGTCTGCTATGAACCACCAAAGAGTCTGTAGAAATAGAGGTCAAAACCATGACTGAATTCCTCTCGTTACCATTCATCAGGTGACGCTCACTGATTCCTAATGAGCTCTTAGTCTGTGTAAGAGATAAAAGCAGTTTACCCCATGTTTGCCCAGCCACCTCCTGTCACAGAGCTAACGTGTTGTCTTATTGAGCCATGACACTCTGTTGGACTTATAAGAAGTTTACGAGCAGTCTCTTTTGTAGAGAGCAGAAAAATGCCTTACAAAATTGCTTTTGCCTGCTCAGGTGCAGGTGTACACCAGGGATTTCTTTAACACAAGAATGACATCGAGGTTACACGACTATTATTTCCAGCTCTCCAGCCAACAGGGTTGTCCTGCGTGGGTGCAGTGTGAAACCAGCCTTTGGATGGCAAAATTCTGCTGATGTTTGACAGTTAGGGGCATCTGTAACAGTTACGGCCTTTATACAGGGAAACGCCAGGCATCTTCACAATCACTAGGGCCACCACCTCTGCATTTAATTAAAGCAGAATGAACACATATGTCACTGAACTAAGCTTTGCCGCCGGCTGCTCTCCATGCCCGGAGGTAGGCGGCTGCTGCGGCCCGGCGGCGGCCGGCGGGGGTCGGGGGGACGGCCCCAGCGCTGACAGACCGTGATCCCCCCGAGCAAGTGTGTGGCGCTGGCTCGCCCGCTCCTCGCTGCCTCCAATTACATCCCTGGCAGGAGACGCAGCTCTCGGCTTCGCTTTCCAAGGTTATTTTTGGCCGGGGCCGCCGCACGGTGATGGCAGCGGGCTGTCGAGCCGCGAGCACCCTCGCTGACGGCCAGGCGCCGGCGGGGGCCCCGGCGGGGCGGGCGGGGAAGGGGCGGTGCGCACCCCGCGCCCGCCCCGGCTCCCCCGCGGCGCCGGGCTCCCGCCACGGGCCGCCGAGGGCTGAGCTGGCCCGCCCCCGCCGGGGAGACGCCTGTGGGCTCCCCTCCGCCTGGTCGGCACCCTGCGCGAGGGCTGCCGCTCCCCAGCGGAGCCGCAGCCGGGCGGGCGGCGGCCGCCATGGAGCGGACCCCCATCCCGGTGCTGACCGTGCAGACAGCGCCCTACGAGGACCAGCGGCCGACGGGCGGCGGGGGGCTGCGGCGGCCCACGGCGCTCTTCGAGAGCCAGCGCAACTACCTGCCCAACTTCGTGCAGAGCCTGCTCTCCTCCGTCGACCTTCGCGACCGGCAGGGCTGCACCATGGTGGTGGGCAGCGACGGCAGGTACTTCAGCAAGACGGCCATCGAGATCGTCGTTCAGATGGCCGCGGCCAACGGGGTAAGCGGCCCCCTCGCCCTCCCCTTCGCCCCCTCCCTGCAGCGGGACCTGCGCTGTGCCCGCACCAGCGGTCCCGGCAGCGGGAGGCGCGGGGCAGCCCCTGAGCATGGGGAGAAGCTTCCAGTGTCGTCACCCGGACAGCGCTCAATATACAAATAAAACCAGGAGGAACTTCGCGTCCGGCTGTTTCGGCGCTCTACCCGTCAGGTGCCCGAGCCAGCCCGTGCCGGCTCGTGTGTCCCTTCTGCTGGGCTTTGGCATGGGTGGTGGCTCCGTCGGGGTTTGACGGGGGGGATGGTGGCACCCTCAGGAGACTGCCAGCTGTGCCGTGCTGTTTCGCTTTATTTTAGAATGAGGAAGGAATGGCAGTTGAAACATAGGGTTCACTCTGAAGGAGAAAATGTAGCAAGACTTAAAAATATGCGCGTGGGAAACAAAGGTATCAGAAATGTATTTGCTGCTCAGGATATTTTAGAAATATTCAAGGAAAATGGTACTATTGAGGGAAGAGGAGTTCAGCATTTTGGCTGCATCTTAAGAAAATAATCATTCTTTTCTGTTGTGCACTTGCAAACAAATTACAAAATGTAAGAAAACTGCAGTCGCAGAAGCCTTTGTGGCCACATGGGGTACAGATTTCTCTTCTACAGTTTTGAAAATAGGAAAGAACTTGAGTAGAAGACTGTTGTCTTTTGTTAGATACATGCACATTCGTTTGTGGATATATATGTACAGACAGCTGGAAATACCAGATAATGTAGGCTTTAAGTTCCCACTTCAAAGCAGAACTGAAGCTACTATCTCTTGTTATGGTGGCTAAATTGATCCTCTAGATTTAGCAAAAGGAGTGATATGGTTTTATAGATCTTTTGGTAGGGAATTTAATTTTTTTCAAAAGCTCATTCTTTCAACTTTGAAATGAATCTCTGTATGTGTCCAAATTTTTTCCTGCTGATTTGTTGTCACATACAAGCTATATAGACTACCCAGTCTGATATAAATAATGAGTATTTTAAAATTATTCCTAAAGCATGTTCTCAACACGCTGATAGCATTGAGCTGATGCTTAGTGATACTGGGGATTTCAGAGAGACTGTTTATGTTACATGGTGGCTTCCTTGTGCAAAATAGCCATTCACACAGGGAGTTGCTGCAGATGCCAGGGTGTATGTGGCCCTGGGTGTGAGAAGGGCTGTCAGGGGACACTGGTTAAAGTGAGGACGGTGGCAAGGGTAGTACAGGTGGGATAAAGTGCAGCAACAATTAAAGCAAGAGTCTGGCGGCAAGAACTGCCCTACTGAGGCTGAGATCCTTGCCTGTCCTTGCACACTGGCAGGAGCTACAAGAGTGGGTTACAGCTGCAGGGTGACCACAAGGACTGAGGTACTGAAAAAGAAAAGAAATTTAGAGTATAGAACAGCAGGGGCTTCTCAACCCTGACTAATTTTTTCTGTCAGCCTGCTTCCTTCCTGCTGCTTCTGTCACACTCCCCATCTTGCTCTTTCTTCCTTGAATATCTTTCTGACCTCAGGAGAGTTCATTTCACATGTTTCTGGCACCTTGCTATAATAATGATTCCACTTGCTTAATTTACTGCAAGTTTCTTGGAAACAGTTTCTCACTAGTGTTTTCTGAAGCCAATCCCCAAACTTTTGTGCTCACAGTTCCCACAAATATCTGAATTCATTCATGATACTTTTACTAATGGCACAGTCCTGACAAATTTGGTAGGCCAACTGGTGGGGAGCTACTAATACTGAAAAGACTTCCCATTTCCATCTGCTAATGTTTCTTTCCCTCTCTAACATCTTCACCCTGGTCACCCTCTATTTCTCTCAAGCACACTATAAATGCTTAAGCCTCACATTTATTTAGTGAGTACTATTGGTGTGTTTTGTTTTTTGGCTGTTAAAATACACCTGGTGGGAAAATATCTAAACCTCCTTGATGGCACTGTTTAGTGCTGTGCTATGTAAGTTGGGAGAGAGGAAGGAAAGACCCATGAGGGCAAAGATCTCTCCCCTTGGATCGTATTAATGTCACTAGAAGGAATGTAGGTCCTATCACAGGGAAAGAAGTGAACTGAGGTAGGCAGGATTGAATGAAATGTGTGGAAGCCTTGAAGCTGCATTGAAAACCTTAAGCCACCCTGAGTTCCAGGAGAGGGATAGCCACATATTGCTGAGAAACTGAACTTAAATCTCCTTCCTGGGAGACACATACTGAGTGTAACTGTTAGTTGTGCCTGCTGAGTACAAAAATAAAAATGGCTTTCTATTATCAACTGTAAATGTATTGCCCTTTAGAGTTGCTAGGTTCCTCTTGTTCTAACTCGGTGACTCATCCCACATTCCCCCTGTGTTAACAGCCTAGCACAATTGGCATAGGCTCCAGTACAAGGAATGAGATGAGGTCCCCTTCCCAGTCAGCTGGCAGTGCTTGGCCTGCCTTCTCCTCATCCCACTGGCTCATGCCATCCGCCTCGGGGCTGAAGGTACATGCTCCATAGCTATAGCTTGTGTAGACTTCCACTGGTGGCAGCAGCTATAGCCTGGTCCATGCTCTGCAGTTGCAAGCAGCACATACGCCCACAAATCTTTCTGTTCAGAGCTGAAGGTGGCTAATCAGGGTCACCCTTAAATGGGGCACACAGCTGGGGCTGGAGCAAACACATTCGGGTAAGGGACTGCATGTCATGGGAGGTGGGGCAGAGTGAAGAAGGCCAGACCATTCTGTACCATTCTGGGTTACAACAAGCAGTTTTACAAAGTAGTGGTAGGACAGCATCTGAGGCTCTGTTGCTCTTTTCACCAGTGTCCTGCCAGTAGTAGCATCCTTCAGCCTTAATGTCTAGAAGAACTGAGGTAAAAAGCTCCATCAGTTGCAATACAGTTCCTCTACAACTTAGATGCAAATATTCCATTAGACCCACCAGCTGTATAGGGTGTCTCATTTTTGATGCAAAGTTTAGGATAGGTTTAAATGAGAAGCTGCTATTTGTGAGTCTCAGTGGCAGATCAGAAGCTGAGGATCATCCACTGAATATGGAAAGTCATGACAACATGCTAGAGAGATTGCAGAGTAATGCTGTAGAAGTTTGAGATGGCAGAGAGTTGAGTTTTACAGTTGTATTCTATATAATACCATGTTGTTTTTAGTTTCCATGGCCTTCCATGTGAATCTTGGCCTCCTCTCCTGGCCATGTGTGATTGATTTGTTTGCTTCTACATTGATTGTAGTGCTCAGTCATCTTTAGAGTACTATAGTAAATGATAGGAAGACACAGCCCCATGTTGTTCAGGATGTAATTTGCTTGCTTCATGTTCTTTTGAGTATAGTTGACTGAGGCATATGAGAGATTACTTGAAAAAATAATTAAAAAAAGCATTAAGTGACTCCATGACAATCAACTGAATTGTCTGAAAATGCACAGCTGCAAGCGGTAATATTGCATAAAAATGTTCTTGTAAAGTACTTGTTATTTTATTCTTTCAGCTGTAGCCATTTGCTGAGGATCTTTGTTTCTGCTGTTGCTACTAAATGTAGAGTGACAAATTATAATGTGGCGTAGGGACAAAGTATTAGAAGAGACATTACATGCCTGTGATCTTGTAGCCATGCAAGTTTTTGAATTCCAAAGATAATCTTTCAACGCTATGAAACTGTCCAAGTTTTTCAGAACAATGTTACTAAAACTTTAATTGTGAGTCAGTGTGTGGATAATATTTGGTTACTGTTTTAGCCCAGATTGTGAGAAGTCTATAAAATCTGATATTAATTAAATTGATTAAAGAATTAACTAAATGTCCATTTAGTATTTGGTTCAGAGACAAAATTAAGAGCTTCTGAGCCAAGAGAAGATGACATTCTGCATTCTTGCCACCAAAACAAGAAAGCAGAGGAAGATGGGTAGCACATTTACACCTCTAAGTTCTGCAGTGTCCTCAGGGAGTTTTGTAAAAGCACTGAAGACCTTAATATAAGGTGAAACTTTATAGTAGTCACTGCAAATAAAATACCGGTTTATCATTCATGTAATTTGACTTCAAAATCCTTAATTTGAAATACTAAGTATTGCAGTATTTCTATAGTATAGAAATTAGTATAATAAATACTTTTAAGCAGTATAGAAATGATAACCTTCTGAAAAATGCTGAAGGCAAAACAAATTACTCATGTTTATATAAATATTTGGCATCCAGAAAAATGGGTAAACTAGTTTGTGTAACTCCAGTTGAACAGGAAAAATGAAATATGGTAGGTGCTAGGTAATTTATGCATTCTGAATAATCTAAGTATTAACTTTTAAAAATACAGTTTTGATGTGCACGAAGGCAAAAACTTAAACTCACTAGTTTAGAAGTACAGAAAATGTACTCATTATAAGCCTGTAGGCAAGTATAAATGCATTTATACTTGAGTGCCTTGAGATAGATTTAGTTTTGTGGTTTTCAAGCATTATGTAAAATGTTGTCACTGTCATATTCCTTTTGCTTACCCATACACAATGCTGTTTTAAGAGCTGGCACCCATTTCTGACAGCTGTGTTTGGAAGATTGAGTCATTGCTCTAGCTTTCTACATGCTTCGTAGTTTAAAAAAGGGAGAGACAATATTCAAAACAAACATTTTCAGTATTTATTTTCATCATGTTTTTCTTTCCATAATATTTTTTTTTTGTTTCTTAACTTTTTTTTCCCCTCTCCTTTGGAATTGTTCCAACCTGGGAGAAAAAAAGACAGTGAAACAAAACATTTTTCTAATAGTAGTAAGAGCAAGTCAAATGAACCTTGAAGATTTACGTGAACTGTATTTATAATTTTGATAGCTCTCCTGTTTTCCAGCAACAATCCATAGGCTTCAAAATTAGCTGCAAAAACTGTGAAAAGAAAACCAGGTGGACAATCAATCATTGTATCCTCAGATCTTGAGGTAGAAATCTCAGTGAATAGAATGCATTTTCTGTGCATTTTTTTAAAATTTGAAAGCAGATCTTTTACTTCTCAGTGAAAGAGAAATGGCTAACCATAGCCTGTGCTTTGTGAGAGCTATCAAAAAGTAACTTGTGCTTACTTTAGAAGTTGATAATTTCTTTGTAGAAATCCTATTTTTTTAAACTAAAATAGTTCACAAAAGCAGGCTGAATAAATAATCTATTAATCCTTTGCTTTTCTGAAATTATTTGCAACTGCACTTCTGAGTAATTAAGTGCTTCACATGAGTGACCGGAAGGTCATCTGTATGTGAGGGCACAGCTCTTTATGGAAAGGAGAAAAGTAGCACCTCATGTACTGCTGCTTTGCCACAGAGAGCTATCAAATCTCCTTCAAACTTGAGAACAAAAACTGAAGTTAAACTCCCAGTCTGTTTTCAGATGGGGAGTGGGAAGAATTCAGTGTTCTGGCTCTCCCTCTGCCCCCTCTACCCACTCCCTGCCCCTTCCCAAACTACTACTCAATAGTGGTGGGGGGTGAGGTTGTTTTTTATAGTGATGTTATTAAAAAACCCTGAACATTAGCGATACACTTTTCAGCTCTATATGCAGCTGCATCAGTTCTCATCTGTGACACTAACCTCCCCTTCTCTTGTTTTTTTTTTTATGTCTGCCTGTTTCCCAGAAATTGGAACTCTTTTGTATTTCTTTGTAAATACATTTCTGGTTGGCTTCTAGATTATTTATGTTCAGCTGAAGCTGTAGTATCTGTGTAGGGGATGAAGGCAAGGTTTTGAAATTGGAACCTTACAGTGGAACTGCACATAATACCAAACACGTTGAGTCAGTGTTTAATAACACCACCTATAAGGTCTTTTTTAACTTTAAGAGTGGTGGGAACTTCCCCTGCTCAGCTGTGCCCCGGGAAACACACCCTGTTCATTTGGAATAGCCCAGGAGTCACTGATGGCTGAAAGAGGAGCAATGCTTTCTATGGAGCAGGACATCCAATGGTGCCTTGGCAATAGAGGTGTAACTGCAAGAGACTGCCGGTCCTAGTGTGTAGTGATGCTTGTGGTTGCACTGAAAGGCTGCTCTTTGAAAGGCTATTCTCTTTCATGCTGGTTAAAGCCCCAGACCTGAAAACTGCATCGACCTAGTCAGCCCTAAACTATATTGGATCTGAGGGGGTTTGCTGATTTGTTAGGATACCTGGAAAGGTTTGATAGCAGGATCATGGCCCAGTGCTATGCTTGGGAGCTTTGCAAATCGCTGTCATGACTGTGCTCTTGCTTTACTGTCAGTACACAGGCCACTGGTGTTTAATGTGCCAGGATACAATGTTTTTTGTCAGTGCTCCAGATTAGCATGCAACTAACGCATGTATGTATATTTCTCTGCAAAAGAACATGTTCCATACTAGGACTTTACCAATTGTATTCTGTACATAAATGCCCATATGTGTGTGTTTATATATTAATTTTAAAAAATGTAGTACTATTCAGAGTACTTTGGCTTTTTTTTCCACCTAGATCGGCAGATTAGTTATTGGACAGAATGGTATCTTATCCACACCTGCTGTTTCGTGTATCATCCGAAAGATCAAAGCAGCTGGTGGAATTATTCTAACAGCTAGCCACAGTCCTGGAGGACCTGGAGGAGAATTTGGAGTCAAGTTTGAAGTTGCCAATGGAGGTATGGGTTTAGCAACATACTACAACATTGCATCTTAGTATGCTGAAAATATGCTGACAAGGATAACTAGCTGCCTTTATGTGTTTTTCACTTTCTCTGTTAAAACTGTCAAGAACACAGGTGTCTCTTTTTTCTTTTTTTTCGGTAATAGGGCTGTATTTGTCTGCATGGATCTGTACAATAAGCATTAAATCCTTACTGAAGTCCTTGTAGTAGCTGTGAGATTTCTATAAACAAGAGGTTTGCTATCCTGTTTTTACAGTATTTTATGTAGTCTCCCAGATCACTGTAACAGTTCCCTATAAAGATACTTTTATAAAGATACTTATGAGGGAGCTCTGTTCTGCTCATATTTGTGTTGCTTGTCTTGGCATTTACTTTAAAGCATGTAATTTCAGAAATGCTGTAAGCAGTATAACTCATTGTCTTGTATGGAAGAAAGCACTTCTTATGTTTACCCAGGAAATAACTGGTCTTACCCAGGGAAAGGGTTGTACAATTTTAACTACTGCAGTTCCACCCCTGAATAACGGAATTTGGGTATATAGCTAATGTCCTGTTTTCCAAAACTGACAAGCTAATGCAGGTAGGTATGTTACACATTCAGTATGTTTTATATTATAGATCTGTGTACACCCATAAAACATTATGGTGGCAGCTGCTGACACCTTGTATACCTCATACGTATAGAGTGTTTTCTACCTGAAAAAACTGATCTGAAAGTGTTTTTAAAATCTTTCCTTCCCCATTTTGGAAGTGGGTGAACTTGAGAAGAGGGTGCTTCTCCCTTGTCCCTTTTTCAAAAAAAATGTCCAGGGTTAAATGAATGAGATTTTATAAACAGAATAGGCTTGAATCCCAGAGAGATTAGAGGGACTGCATAAGGGCATCCAGTGAGAAAGCCAGGGTCACAGCACACACATACCAGAGCCAAACTGTTAGATGCATTAGCACTCTATAAACTTTAAAACACCACATATACCTAAAATCTCTATGATAAATGAGAAACAGTTGGTGTGGAAGTCTTTTTAGTGTGCTTTGCCTTTTTAAAGAGAATTCAAAAAGTCTATTAAGCTTTATATATGAAACACTCCTCAAACAAAAATCACAAGGTTCAAGTATTTATGTTAATCACTGGGGACATAAAGAAAAGCAATTAGTTTAAGTTACAGCTGAGAAAATGTGGGCTGATAATTAGGTAAGGCTTTTGAAGTAAGAGAATGGCTAGACACAGCAACAAGCTCCTAGGGAAGGTTATCGTTGCTCTACGTTATTTCTCAATCTATTGATCCAGGTCAAGCAGAAGTGTTTTGTTTCTGTAGCTGTACAAGAAAACGTAGGGTGACACTGTGGGATCTCCTTAGCTGGAAATATCAATAGATAAGACATCCATCTATCAAGGATGATCTGGAGCTAATGAAATCTGTCCTCACCCTTTGGATGGGTTTGAATTAGATGAGTAAGAAGTAGTATTCTAAGCCGAATGAAGAGTTAAGTGACTGTTACTTATTGTATTGGTTTGGAACATCTGGTACACTGCATCTGAGATGGAACACACTAATTTACATGGCAAAGCTACACGGCGTATAATGGGAAATTAGCACTGAAAAAGTCTTCAAAGGCACTTTGGCACAGGAGAGAGAACACATAAAAGAGACTAAAGGAAATAATTTTTAGAGTGAAAGCGTGGCTTTAGTATAAGCTATGCAGAGTCAGAGAAGCCAGAAAGGACTTGCACTACATATGGCATAATTCATCTAGTAATTTTTGCATCAAACCTGCAACTTTTATTTGGTTAACAGTAAATCTTTAAAAGCAGAGCCATTTTTCAGGCTTTGGCAGTGAAAGTAATTCACAAGTAAGATATGTTTTCTGTTTCTGAATGACATAATTATTTCAGGTTGAGATTGCTAATTGTTGAGCAATTAAGGTATTTTAAATTCCAACAACGATAAATTTCATTAAGCTATTGGAGGAAAACTGCAATACAGCACCACTGTCAAACTGCTAAGGCATTTAAAAGCAATCATTTTTTCTATGAAATAATGTGGAACACCAAACTAGCAGACCGTCAGAAGTGTGCATTTGCAGAAAGTGCTATGAAACAACAGAAACTGCTGCTGAAGGACAGGCTTTCCTTTAATAACTACATTGAGATTCCATGAAGAATAAAAAAAAGGCAGTCTTTGAGCAATAAATTCAAAGAAAGATGACTGTGTGTTTTTTGCTTCCCTCATCCTCCCTGCTCCTGGGTAATGATTGATTTAAATACTTTACGTAAATCAAAATGTTGTGTGTAACGCACTATAGTTCCATGTTTTATTTTTGCAAAAAACATTTTAAGCTTATGTTGTGGTGAAAGAACAGACCTTATTTACTGTAGTACTTTGTGTTTATTCCGTACTAACTCCAATATATTCTGAAAAATGTTTACTATAGCACTTACTTTTAAAATAGGGAACCTTCATTTAACAGAAATGACCCACCACATTATTTTCTCTTTTAGGACCTGCTCCAGATATGGTTTCAGAAAAAATCTATCAAATCAGCAAAACCTTGGAGGAATATGCAATTTGTCCTGATCTCAGAGTTGATTTATCACGCCTGGGAAGACAAGAATTTGATCTGGAGAACAAATTCAAACCTTTCCGAGGTAGCAATGTCTGCTTTTATGCATGCTAAATACATTGAGTCTAAATATTAGTATTGCTGCAGAATTATAATGCGTAATTACAAAAACAAAACTTTTGTTCTTCAAAATGCCTTACTAAAAGTTATTAAAATAAAAGTCAGTATAGAATCATAAAATGTTTTTTATTGGAAGGTACCTTAAAGATCATCTCGTTCCGACCACCCCTGCCATGGGCAGGCACATCCTCCGCAGGTTACTCAGAGCTCCATCCAGCCTGACCTTGCACACTGGCGGGAATGGGTCATCCAGAACATCTCTGGGCAACTTATTGCAGTGCCTCACTGCCCTCACAGTAAAGAATTTCTTCATAAAATCTAATCTAAATTTCTCCTCCTTTAGTTTAAAACCCTTCCATCTTGTCCTACCACTATTTGCTTGTGTTGAAAGTCTTTGTATAAGCCTCCTTTAAGATACTGGAAGGCTACTATAGGGTCTCCTCAGAGCCTTCTCTTCTCCAGGCTGACCAATCTTACCTCTCTCTCTCAGCCTGACATCATAGGAGAGGTGCTCCAGCCCTCTTGATCATCTTCATGGCCTTACCTTGGACCTGCTCCAACAGGTCCATGTCCGTTTGGTGCTGAGGACCCCAGAGCTTGACACAGCACTCCAGGTGGGGTCTTAGGAGGGAAGCATAGAGGGGGAGAATCACCTCCCTTGGCCTGCTGGCCATCTGTCTTGTGATGCAGCCCTGGATATAGCTGGCTTTTTTTGCTGCAAGTGCACATTTCTGGCTTGTGCCCAGCTTTTTATCCACAAGAACTCCAAGTCCTTCTCTGCACGGCTGCTCTCAGTGAGTTCTCCCAGTCTGTATTCGTGTCTGGACTTTCTGAACCTCAGGAGGTTCTCATGGACCCAACATGTCAAACTTGTCCAGGTACCTCTACTTGGCACCCCTTCCTTCTGTTGTGTCAGTTGCACCAACCAGTTTTATGTCTTCTGCAAACCTGCTGAGGGTGCACTTGATCTCACTGTCAATGTCATTGATAAAGGTATTAAAGAGCATCAGTCCCAAGACAGACCCCTCAGGGAAACCACTCCTCACTGGCCTCCACCTGGACATAGAGCCGGTACCCACAACTCTCTGATTGTGTCAACCAGCTGATTCCTTATCCGCTGAATAGTCCATCCATAAAATCCATGTGTCTCCAGTTCGGAGGTAAGAGGTCGTGTGGGACTGTGTCAAAGGCCTTGAAAAAGTCTAGGCAGATGACATTGTTCTGTCATATATCATCTGAAAGATCAAAGCAGCTGCTAGAATTAGTTTAACAACTAGCTAGGGAGACTTCGAGGAGAGTTTGGAGTGAAGTTTGAGGTTGCCAGTGGAGGTAGGTTTTTTTTTTTTTAAATAAAGCAAAGATGTTGTCAGCAGACTCTGCTGGTCAAGTGGCCTGTAGTAGACCCCAACCATGAATTGTCCTTTGTTGGTCTGCACCTTGATTTTCAAGCCCAGGGTCTCAGTCTGTTCATGGCTGTTTCTCAGGGACAGCTCTTCGCAGTCTCTCCCTTCCTTAACAGAGCGCAACACCCCACCCCTCCTTCTAAGCCTGTCTCTTCCAAAAAGCTTGTAGCCCTTAGTTGCAGTGCTCCAGTCATGTGACTTGTCCCACCATGTTTCTGTGATGGCAATTAGGCCATAGTTTTCTAATTGAACCACGGTTTCCAGCTCCTCTTGCTTGTGTGTGATGCTGTGTGCATCTATAGGTAAGTGTTGCGTTCATTTTGCACATAGGGAATCTGAACTACAGACTTCAAGTGCATCAGGCCTCAGCTTTTAGCCAAATGTCTTTGCCAAATATATGTGCTTATGCTTGCTAGTAGTTAAACACCAAACAAAAACTGTTTTGGACTAGGAATGGTTTGCTTATGGAAGTCTAATTGACAGAAGAGTTTGTGAGAATCTAAGTTTATTCGTTCTTTGCTCACACTTTATGAAAAGTTGTGGCACTATGCATCCAGTGACTCCAAATCTAAAGGGAGTGCTGAAGCACGTTTAATTTTAAGCATGTGAATACTTTTATGCCTACACTTGATTCAGAATGATCTAACTTAGCTATCTCCTTGAAGGAGTCAGAAGCAAAGGAAGGGGTTCTGACATATATTTCAAATTTCATATCTATTTCATATCTATTCCATATCTATTTCATATATTTCAAATACTGTAAAACTCTGCGTGGCCTCAAAAACTTTTACTCGTTCCTGATGCCCTAGAATTAAAGCTAGGTTTTTTCCCACCCAAACTTTACATTTGAGAAATAAAGATTTTCATTAAAAAACCCATTCAGTTATGTTTTGTTTTATTTTTTATTTTTTTTTTTTTTTTAAATTTTATTTTATTTTGGGTTTTTTGGTGTTTGGTGGTTTTGTTTTTTTTTTTTTTATTTTATTGCAAAGAACACATTTGGGTTGTTCAGGCAAACAAAAAGCAAAGAAAATTCAGCTCCAGCACGACTCTGGAATCAAAAAATTACCAGAATTCTAAATTTTGTTTTTTTCAAGCTTTTTAATCTCTCCAAATTGTATGTTTCTAAATGAAAATGAGACAACCCTCCCCCACATTAGTATAAAAGCGCATACAAATAGTTGCAATTTTTCTGTTTGTTTTTATATTAAAAAAACATTTCCCAATCTTGTCTTCTAATAATACATCAACCTGAGACAGTAGAGCTACCAGGGAACCCTGCTGAAGCAATGTAATTGGCCTATAAGTGCACGAATAAGTGTAGTTTACACAGATTTGAATGTAGGTTGAAAGTGCAGAAAGAATGAAAGTCATTTAAAAAGTAATTTATGGTACTATCTGATGTATTTAAAACTTCTGCTTTTTCTGTTGTATGAACTAATTCCTGTGAATCAAGCCTACAGAGGTGTTGAAGCAACTGAGTTGGGTTTGATAGGAGCTAAAATAATTTTTGGACTTTAATCCTACCTGCACTTTGTATTGACGTGTGCGAGCAGCTCCACTGCAGATGCACATTTGTTCATGTGTGTAAAGCTTAGAGCCTACTAAAATACTGCTAGGAGCAGGGCATAGAAGATATGCAATAGTATCATTTTGGTGAAAGCTCGAGACTTTCAACATATACCATAGAACTGACTAATTTTCAAGTAGGTTTTAGAGATTGTTTTTCATTCTTGAGAGCCTTTTTTTGTTTCTTCCTTCAAGCATATTGTCACAATCTATTCTAAGTGTTTTACTCAGGCTCAAAAAATGTCTGTGTCATTTTCATGTTACCTGAAAGAAGAACATTAGGGCAAGGTTAGTGTTTCTGAGCAAAACTGGCTGACATTCTAAGTAATAATTTAACTTGTAATTAAAATATTTTAAGATACTTATTTAACCAGATGAAAAGACATTTTTATAACATATGCTTTTTAATTTAATCAGGAAAAATAATTCATTCCAAGATTACTGAGAAGCATGGTTTTTGACAGTTGCTTAGTAACTGCTTTCCTTATGACGGACTTATTTTCATTGATACATTTTAGTTTAATGTTTTACATCCAAAAGAACTAGTAGTGCTCTGCTTATGAATTTAAAATTCAAGTTATCAAGGCCTTAATGAAAAACAGATGTTGTATCTGAGCCTTACTTTTCTAAATCAGTGAGGTATACAATGCAAAAGTATAATGTTAGATTGCCAACAAACTGGACACAGGTATTCCTGGTGCCAGAATTTAGAAGAATAGGCTGTATATCTTTCTTGATGGAATGATGCAGATAGATACTGCTATCAGAAGAATAGAATAGAATAAACCTATTTAGCTTGGAAAGTTTTTCAGTGGCTTAGTGAATGATATATAAAGAGTTTACTTTGATAGAATGTACTCTCTTTAATGTTCTCAGTGAAATACGAACTGTCAACTTACATTATCTCTGTGGTTTTTTAGCAGGCAAAACTGTTTATCTTTTCAGCTTAATGGTTGCCACCCTGAAGGCAGCAGGAGTCTTTGACTTTGCCTCTATGGGCTTCAGAGCAAATCCATGTTATGTAGAGGTTGTGTGCTCTGACATCAGTTGAGTTACATGACTGGTGGAACTGTGCTGGAAGAGAGATTTTCCCATGTGTGAACTGTAATCACTTTTTTCTGTGTAATTTTTCTAGTGGAAATTGTGGATTCTGTGGAAATCTACCTCAATCTCCTTCGAAGTATTTTTGACTTCAGTGCAATCAGAAATTTGCTGACCGGACCCAACCAGATTAAAATAAGGATTGATGCCATGAATGGAGGTATGAACTTAAGTGGCTGTCAGGACAGAAATAGTTTCCTGATAAAAAATGTTACATGGCAATGGTTTCTCAATAACAGTACAGCATATAAAAGTCAGACTTTTATATAATGTTAAGGGTAATAAGAAAGGATTTGAACCTTATACTACCAACAAAGGCAATCTTAACAATGGGTTAGATCGCTTACTAGGCAAAGGAGTTTATCTTACTTCATAAATAAGCAAAGGCATATGTATCCAATTAAAGTTCTCTTTCTGCATTTGGAAGGAAGCAGGATGAGGTAATCTTGCCATGAAGTATGTTGCAGTATCCAGTGACCAAGGAGGCTCTACTAAGAGCAAATTCTAAATGTTATAAAACTAGATAAGTCGGAATAAATTGTACCCAGAAGCCCTTACAGAGTTGGCTGAGACCTCTGTCTCACTAATTTCAGTGTACTGCGCACAAGTTGAAAATGTCACAGAAGACAGCAAGGGGACCAGTATTAAAAAAGATATAAACTGTGTCACTTGGGAAGACATAGATTTGTCTTAGGCTATAGTATCAAAATGTAAGTAAAAATTTCTACAGATAATGAGTTGAAGGATAGGAGCGTAAGTAAGAATGTTCAATATCATCTTATGGAAAGCAAATTCCATCAAACAAAACAGGTTTCATTCTTTAATGGGATTACAAAAATCAACCAATAAAGGGAGCTGTATAGACTTAGAAAACTTTTGTAAAGCATTTTAGTCTTGGCCTCTAATACAGTGTGATAGTCTTCAGAATATCATAGTGGGTTCACAGTCAGTGTGAACACCCAGTTCACAGGCCATGGCCAAGGATTACAGTCTGCATCCAAAAGGTGTGAACACCCAGTTTTGCCAAGCTGTGGCAACAGGGCAAATTGTGTCCTCAAACAATGTAGAGAGAGCAATAAGAAAGGCACTGCTTGCTGTCATGTACAGTACTGGAGAGAACGTTACCCAAATACTTCGTAGAGCTCTTAGTCCAAGTCTGTTAAAAATTTTTACCTGTGGTCAAAGAGATGCATAGTCTGGCTTAGGGTTAGACAAACTGATGCAAACAAAAATTTTAAAGGACTGAGTTTGTTGAGTTTGTTTCTTTTTTACAAGGTAATGACCTTTATTTACAAGCTTTGTGACCTTGCATCTTGGTGCAGTAATATCCATACTGTAATATAAAGTACACATAGATTAAGTGTATACAAGACTATTTCTTTGTACAACAAAGTAAGTTGTCAGGGTTTTTTTCTGCAGAAAAATTATTGTTCAGTCTGCTATTCCCAAAAATACCAAAAAGAATCAATAGAGAGAGAAGTTGAGTCCAGGCAAATCCAGATTGAAATGTCACTCACATATTCATGGGTAACGGTCAATAACCATTGGAGCAATCTATCAAAGGTAGTTGGGGTTTGCCCTTCTCTTGATGGCATGTGATCAGAAGACTTTCTGGATGAGATGCGTTAGCCAAAAGTGAGTTACTAGCCACAGTGTAGTGAACATTAGAGAGGACCACATACGTATGTTGAAAAGCTGTCTTCTGAAATTTGTCTTCTATTTGCGCCTCTGGAATGTGTTTTTATGCCGCAGACATTGGTATTTTAACACTGGAATAAAAAAAGAGTAATTTGTCAGGAGTCTACTTTTGATAAGAACCTGAATCATGGTATGTTATACAGAGTTCAATTTTCTTGAAAACAAGGTTCTCACATGGTTTTACCTTTGGTCACAGTTGTTCCAGTTAGCAAGATCTCAGAATAAGGTAGGAGGAAGAGAGGGCATGAGAGACAGACCAGTCACTCGTATTTTTTCACCTCTGAGGCACCTGTTCACAGAGTGCTCAGTTAGTGACTGATTAGTCACCAAATGCATACAATACTTATGGTATATAATAGCACAAACTAGGGTCTTAATCGGCCATATCTTTAACAAAAAAAAAAGAAGAGAAGTATTTTGGAGTTAGTTTTGAGAAAGCTTTTATTCATTATCTGCATGGTAGCAACTAAAATATACTAAAATTCTTTGATGTCCAAATCTATTGCAATTTTCATGTGAACGGGAACATTAAGGTAGGTGTATTTCCCATTTACATTCCCCTGCTGTTTACTTTTCTTGCTATTATGTGTTAAACTGTTGTTTGCATCCCAGGACACATAGAATAGCATTTTATTTTCATGCTAGGTGAGAAAAAACCCTTTATGCATATGATAATTTCTTTACTTAATAATGAAGACATAAAAATTTCATCTTTCCCCATTCAGTGATTACTTTTTCACTTCCTGTAGAGGTGAACTGTGTGTTTTATACTGAATAACAAATTAATTATTTACTGGAAGAACAATCACATACTTCTCTGTGAAATAAGAGTTTGGGTTTTGTTGTTCGGGCAGATGTATAGAGTTGCTATGTAAAGTATGTTTTATATCAGCTCTCCACGGTGCTGTGAAAAATTTCAGTGTCAAGCATACGCTTTTGTGATTGCATGGCAGACTTCTGTTTTTGCAGTTATGGGACCTTATGTGAGAAGAATCTTGTGTGATGAGTTGGGAGCTCCTGCAAATTCTGCCATAAACTGTATTCCTCTGGAGGATTTTGGTGGACAGCCTCCTGATCCAAATTTAACATATGCAACTGCCTTGCTGGAGGCTATGAAAGGTGGAGAGTATGGATTTGGAGCAGCTTTTGATGCTGATGGAGTAAGTATTTTGATCTGTCTTGAGGTTTCACTATCGTTGTTTTGTCTAAGGTCAGATATGGGACGTGTAATATAATTTATTTGCTTTTCAGTAATGGATTTAAGCTGAAAGTGGTATTACTTTCAGGTACAGATGGTAGAATTTGCAACCCGTCAATCAGACACATATGTTGCAATTTGCCTCTGCAGATGATTGCAAATCAAGCAGGATTTGAAGGCAGAATTATTTAGAAAGAGACAGCATATATATATAATATGGATTTGTCACAGTAAGACCTAACAACGTTAAGTCCATTTTGGTTAGCGTCATAAATTAAGGGATTTTTAGCTAAATAAAGCATTGAATCATAATCTCTGTTTATTTTAATTTTAATATCATATTATCAACATTATAAACAGCAAAGTATTACAGAAACTTTTTGCCCTGACAGGGTGGGAGAAGGTTGAAAAGGTTCTGAAGAGCAGAAGCTGTTTTCTATTGTCAGTAAACACAAAACACCCTCCTGCTCACCTAATAGTGTATGTCATTGGCAAAAAGATTCTCCTACACAAGCATTCCCTTGGCAGGAACAGAAGTACTGAAGTGACATGTAGGCGGCTGGAGCTAGAGGCTGATCTGGAGCTTTGATTTGCAAGGCAGGAGGGAGTGATGGTGTGATAGTGAGATTGTAAACCTGCCAGGATGATGCCAGTGAATTATTCTGCCCAAAGAGGGATGCGAGTAAGCCAAAGGCTGTTCCTTTTTTTCTGTACCTGCATTGGATCTAGTAAAAGAAATTACAGCTCCACAATACACAGAATTATAATTTCTTTTTTGAATTTCTTTTCTTCCCCAGGACCGCTACATGATTCTTGGCCAAAATGGTTTCTTTGTGAACGCATCAGATTCATTGGCTATAATTGCTGCCAATCTGTCTTGCATTCCTTACTTTTGTCAGATGGGTGTCCGAGGATTTGGCAGGAGCATGCCTACCAGCACAGCCCTGGACAAGTAAGATGAAACATTTATTTGTATCACCTTGGTCATTACTTTAGTTATCTCTATTTTTAATACATAGCAATTCTAACATTGTGAAGTCTTTTGATAAGAGCTTCTAATTTTCACCAGCTTTATGTGCTTTATGGTTTTAACTAGTTTGATGACATTTTGATTTTATCTAAACTAATTTTTCCCATCTTAACTTGCATGAAAAGAAATAAATAGGTTAAATCTAATGTACAAGTCTTTGACTGGTAATTCCTTTTCCAAAAAACTTGACTCTTTTTATTAGTAAATAATGTTTTACAGTTTATCTGTCAGCCCTTCTTATGAAAGTCATGGAAGTTTAAAACAGATAAAGTACTAATTCAGTACTCAACAAGTATTAAAAAAACCAAACCCCCTCTCTAATTATAAGATGTTGAAATATATAATCTGTTAGATTACAAAATGTCCCAGAAGTGACTGCAGGCAGTCATGAAATCCATTCCCAGTTTCAAGACAGATTAAAAGTATATCTAAAGCTATTTCTGACAAGTCCAGTCTACTCTTTAAAGATTTGCTGGATGAGCATCCTATGTTAGCAGCTGAACTTTGAACAAGTCTCACCCAGGCCTCAATTTTCTGTAAATGTCAGGATAAGATGATGAAGCTAAATATTGTTGCTGTATATGGGGGGCCCCTTGGTGGTCTAGTGGTTAGAATGCAGCACTCTCACCGCTGCGGCCCGGGTTCGATTCCCGGTCAGGGAACTCCCCGGGCAGACGGAGCTCGTCAGCCCTGTAAGGCCATCCATCTAAGAGAAGGTCACTCTAAACAAACCTACGTCCTGAGGACCTCACTGCCACCGTCCAAGCTCGCTCGGCCCCGGCAGATGAACCTCAGGATTAAAGGGTGGGCTCAGTTCAGCGCACACTGTGTCTCACCTAAAAAATCCACTGCGCAGGCTCGAAGGGTAAAGACCTTTCCCAAATCTTCGCTCGCAAAGACTGACCATACCAATTGCTGTATATATTCTGTGTGAAAAAAGCGTTCGCTAAATCCATTGTGTCTCAATGTAGATCTGATTGCATAGCTTTACTAAGACAAGAGTGATCTGCTGCCCCCATTAAATGTGTCTAATCAGGAAACAGTTATTTTAAAATTAAATGTTACTTGTATAAAAAGGTTGATTGCTCTCTCTACAGTTTACCTCTTCAGGAAGTTTCTAAAAGTTACTAAATTCAGAGCTTTCAGCATCCTCTAATACTTGACAGAGTCTTCAGGAAAATGTTCCTTAGTTGTGGGTAGATCGTCTAGTTTAAGCAAGTACTGTTAGGTCAGTGTATGATGTATTTTGTTTATTCAGCTCAGAGATCCAAAAATCTCATTGTTTAAGTGACAAAGATAATGTTATATTGAAATATGATATAAAATAAATAGAGTTCATTTTGTATATGAACACCATCATATCTTAATTCCTGTTAGACTTGAAGGAACAATGACATTTATATATTTTAGTCTGTCTTCCTGTCATGAAGTTTGATAAATATTTTAGAAAGCATGGACTGGAGTCCCCTTCAATAACACTGTGACTGTTTGAATTATGTTCTTTACAATGTTTACTTGACCTTCTGGTGCAGAGATCGTCCTGTGATGATTACTGCCTTATTTAGTTCTGTGGAGCTAAGCCTGATTATTAAATAAAACTGAGCAATTGATAATGATGGAGGGATGTAAATATTTTCCCAGCTGTTTTTACAAATATTTATTGTTATGAGGTTTTCAATTCAAGACGCTTGATTTTTTTTTTTATTTCATTTCGTGATTGTCTTTGTTTTCTTGAAGCCTTAAAAGTTACATGTTGTCATGTAGTTCACTGTAGACCATCTAGTTCCAACCCCTTGCCACAGACAGGGACACCTAACCACTAGACCAGGTTGCTCAGAGCCCCATTGAACCTGGCCTTGAACACTTCCAGGGATGGGACATCTACAACTCCTCTCGACAACCTGTTCCAGTGCCTCACCATCCTCACAGTAAAGAATTTCTTCCAGATAACTAATCTAAACCTGCTCTCTTTCAGTTTGATGCCGATCCCTGTCATCCTGTCACTACATGCCCTTGTATAAAAGTTCCTCTCCAGCTCTCTTGTAGACTCCTTTAGTTGCTGGAAGGCTACTTAGAAGTCTCTCTCGGGCCTTCTTTTCTTCAGGATGAACAGCCCCAACTCTCTCATCTTGTCTTCACAGGAGAGACCAGCCCTCTGATCATCTTTGTGGTCCTCCTCAGGAACTACTCCAACAGAGCCACATCTTTCTTGTGCTGAGAACCCCTGAGCTGGACGCTCAGTGAGGTCTTACAAGTGCAGTGTAGAGGGTTGACCTGCTGGCCACCCTTCTTGTATTGCAGCCCAGGATACAGTTGTTTTTCTGGGCTGCAAGCACACATTGCTGAGTCATGTTGAGAGTCTCATCAACAACACCCCCAAGTCCTTGTCCACAGGGCTGCTCTCATTCAGTTCTCCATCCAGCCTCTGTTTGTTCTTGGGTTTACCGTGACCTTCATGCAGGACCTTGCCCTTGGCTTTGTTGAACTTCAAGGGGTTTGCATGGGCTCAGCTCTCAAGTTTGTCAAGGTTCCTAGGGGTGCCATCCCTTCACTCCAACATGTAGACCACACCACTGTAGTGTATTTCTGTGGCTGGGTTTTGGTTGGGGGGGGGGCTAGAGGGGTGGCTTCTGTTAGAAGCTTCCCCTGTCCGGTGGAACCAATGCCAGCCGGATCCAGGATGGACTTCCTGCCGCTGGCCAAGGCCAAGCAAATCAGGAGTAATAGTAACGCCTCTGTGATAACATATTTAAGAACAGAAGGTTGTTGCACAGAAAGAATTCCAGCCAGGGAAGAGCAGAGTGAGAACATAGGAATAACAATGTAGACACCAAGGTCAGTGCAGAAGGAGGGGCAGGAGGTGCTCCAGGAGCTGGAGCTGAGACCCTGCAGCCCGTGGTGCAGATCGGGGTGGAGCAGCTGTGCCCCTGCAGCCCATGGAGGAACATCGGGGTGCAGAGACCCACCTGCAGCCCATGGAGGAGCCCCTGCTGGAGCAGGTGGATGCATGAAGGAGGCTGTGAACCCGTGGGAGGCCCAAGATGGAGCAGGGTCCTGCTGGAGACCTGCAGCCCGTGGAGAGGAGCCCACGCTGGAGCAGATTTTTCCTGCGTAGGACTTGTGTCCCCTGTGGGGGACTCACGTTGGTACAGCTCACCCATGGAGGACTGCACCCCATGGAGGAGTGACCCACGGGACAGCAGTTTGAGAAGAACTGCTGCCTGAGGGATGGACTCACGCTGAAGAAGTTCATCAAGGACTGTCTCCTGTGGGAGGGACCCCATGGGAGCAGGGGAAGGGCTCCTCTCTCTGAGCAGTGGCAGAAACAACAACTGACTGAAACCCCCATTCCCCTTTCCCCTGCACCGCTGGGTGGGAGGAGGGAGAAGATGGAAGGAAGGAGGGATGGGGGGAAGACTTTTATTTCTCACTCTTTGGCTCTTATCCTGTTAGTAATAAATTTAAGTACTATCCCCACTTTGAGTCTGTTTTGCCTGTGAGGGTAATCAGTAAGTGACCTCTCCCAGCTGTTATCTCAACTCATGAATCCTTAGCTGGTTTTTTTCTCTCTCCTCTGTCCAATTGCAGAGGGAGAGTGAGAGGGTGGCTTTAGTGGGTACCTGACATCCAGCCAGGGTCAACCGACTACAACCACACAGATTGGTGTCATCACGAACTTGCTGAGGGTGCACGCAGTCCCACTGATCGTGTTGCCAACTGTCGTGGTTTGAATCTTGTTTTCCCCCAGAGGCTAAGAGAAGTTGTAGACCCCAAGGGGTGGAAACCCCTGGAAGTTTTGAAATTCTGCCCAATGGACGCTCCTGCAGAAATGTAAACATACCACAACCAGACCGGAAGAGATGAGTTGTAGTTTTGGTTGTAGGAGAGGTGGCCATGTTGTAGAGCCACGAGGAAGGGGCTCTGAGCCCCTTGGGGCCTCTGGCCCCCTCCCAGCCCCTAGCTGGGGGGCTGCAGGGACCTGGAACAGCATAAAGCTGGGCTAGGTGCCTGTAGTTATGCCGGGAGATGTTTTCTCCATGGGCACAGAGCAGCAGCCGACACTGACCAGAGAAACGGTGGCAGAGAGCCAGAGATAAGGACCTGAACTGGAGGAGCAGCAGAAGCAACATGCAGCACCACAGAGGAGACTCCTGGAAGGAGAGCCGAGGAAAGGAGAGCCAAGAGACAGAGTTCTTGGGGGTAAGACTGTACCACACTCCCCCAAAACTCCCTTGAGATCCCTCTTGGAGAAGAGGGACATGGACTCCTATTTTGGAGAGCAGTTTTGGACATGCAGCACCGGAGAGAGAGAGGAGCTGAGAAGCTCAGAGCGTCCTAGAGCTGGACCGGGATGGCCAGATGGAATGCGGGGGGAGTTGCTGTTAAGCAGTGCCAGTTCCAAGACCAATCCCCAAGGAACGCCATTTGCCACTTCGACATTGATCTATTGATAACTCTTTGAGTGAGAGTATCCAGCCATTTCCTTATCCTGCTGAGTGGTCCATCTCTCAAATCCATTTCTTTCCAATTTAGAGATAAGGATGCTGTGCAGGACAGAGCTCTTCCTTTATCCACTAACACTGTAACCCTGTCATAGAAGGCCCCCAAGTTTGTCACGCACAACTTGCCCTTAGTGAAGCCATGCTGCCTATCACCAATTGCTTCCTTATTTTCCATGTGCTTTAGCATAGTTTCCAGGAGGATCTGCTTCATGATCTTGCAAGGCACCAAGGTGAGATTCACTGGCTTGTAGTTCTTCTACAGATCTTCTTCCCAGATCTTCCTTTTTTACTTTTTTGAAAATGGATATTATGTTTCCCCTTTTCTAGTCATTGGGAAGTGACTTCACCAGACTGCCATGATTTCTTAAATATGATAGGTAGTGGCTTAGCAATTTCTTTCAGCAGTTCCCTCAGGACCCA